TATGCAGTATTTTAAAAAATAAAATTGAAGGACTTGGATATGAAAATGTGCTGCTAATTTCTGATAAACCTTTTTGTTTATAGCCTCGCATGGGCTTCCTTCGCTTGCTGTATGGCTGCAGCTGTCACCACTATTAACAAATATACAAAAACTACTTTGGAATTCAAGCACAAAAGAAAAACGCTGGAAAGGAGTTTAAAGATTAAATACAAGTTTCCTGATCATACAGCTTCAGAGAAAGCTTGCAATGTGTACGTGAACTCTTTTCACAACAGTACAGAGGACCCTGCACACCCAATAAAAGACTTGCATCACCTGGCCAATATTTCAGTTCTGTGAATTTGAACTGTACCTAAAGGCATCCTGTAAATCATAATACTAGATTAGAATGAAACAGTATTAATTAATAAAAATGTATATTTGTGTAGCATTAGTTACTTTTCTTAATAAAGAAGTGATATTTCCATGGATGTTTCAAGGAAGTCTTAGTATTGGAAAAGTAGATTCAGGTGTCTTAGTTCAGAAAAAGACAGTGACACAGGTCCTCTGCTGCTCTGATTTTTAAGCAGTCTCTAATGTTAATATAAAGTATGTGAGTTTGTTAGAATTTCAGAGCATTATGGATTTCCTTCCTAATTCTTCATTGAAAAAACTGTAAAAAATCCCATCCCAAAACCAAAACACACAAAGAGCAGGGCAGCAAATAAGGCAGCCCACATGTGGTGCATGGCTTGAATAATTTGTTATTAAAGGTACAATCTCTCCAGGAAAATCTGTGTATTACAGTTTATGATTCAAGAGTTTCACCATATGCATAGTGGTATGATTTGCTGTGAAAGAAATGCTAATAGAGGGAAGAGGCTTTCAGTGTAAATACTACTCATTTAAAATGGCTAGGAAGGCAAATAGAAATCTGGAAGATACCTGGTTGTAGACAGCACACAACTCACCTATGAAATTCTCGAGGTATCATTCTCACAACAGTGTCAGAAAGAATCAAAATTTGATTTGTGATTATTATACATGAAGAATAATTTACAATCACATTAAAGATGAGAAAGTAGAAATTATTACGATCCTCATAGAACAGAAATACATAGCTGCTCCACTCTGAGGATCAACTTGGGGCTTCCCCATGGAACTGAGCCATGTGTGCCTACTGTGTTGGACACCAGATTTTCTTCATTGCTGCATGGATCCTGCTGCTAATGAGCCTGCTAGGAAATGCACTTGTGAATGCTGGGTGGCAGAGGCCTTACACAGTATACTGAGCAGCTCTGGGCTTTAGAAAAATCACTATACATTTTTTTCAGGCAAAACAATCCTAACATAAATATAGTCTGAACTTGTTATGCCAGCAGGATCCATAGCAGGTCAGTTTATGGCCAGTGATAAGGTGGAGCTGATAATAGAGTAGCACAATTAAAAACAATTAGCTCAGAAGGAAACCATGGGCCATTAGTGGCAAGAGAGGAAAATTGAGAGATAATAAGGTGATAACAAAGCAACACGTAAGCCAGTCTCCTCAGAAGGGAGGTGGTTGATGGTGGGAAGCCCACTAAGGGGTAGCAGGCACCTGTGCCCAGCCTCCATTTGCTATGTAACTGGCCCTTGGGAGTGCTGCGACCTCAGGACAGGCAGTTTGTGGGCAGGATGCTGGTAGGGGCCTCAGACACTGCTTGGATTGCTGCTGGCTGCTGGTGCTTGCAGTTTGTGCAACAGTTCTGGGCTCTGCTTCTGTTTTTTCTGGGAGCAAGTTCAAGGCTCCCCAGATCCAGGTTGCAGGTGGAAAAAGCTGACTCCTGATCAGGGAGTTTCAAGCACTCATGCAACTAGTGCTAGGGAGAGAGCTGTATGACTGCTGGACTGCAAGGCTAGGGCCCAGAGCATCACCCTTCAAAGCAGCAGAAACTCTGCTGAGGGCAGTGTATGAGTGCTCAGTATTGGTAGTGACATGTTGGTGGGCATTGCTCCCAGCACCAACTGGGGCAACTGTCCCAGGCACAGCAGAGGTCTTGGTCCACACTGGGCTCCCAAGAAAGGACGCAACTCTCTGGGTCTGGGGCTTCAGGGAGTGCCTGGGGCCACTTGCTGAAGCTGGAGCAGGTGAAGGCAACATCCTTACCTGTAGAAGGTGTGCTGTGACTGAGAAGCTCTACTCAAGTTAAGGAGCTGTGGGAGGAGGTGAGAAGGCTGCATGGCAAAAGGGATGATGAAAAAGAGGTTGACAAGATCTTCACAGAGACACTACAAAGATGAGAGCCTGAACCCCTATAATGCACAGAAGGAAGAGTAGCCAGAGACTGTGCTCACTGGAGATTCCCAGAACCAGGAATGTTGGATGTTGTGGCTTCTGGCAAGAGGAGGACGACTCTTTCTCCATTGGCAGATCTGCAACTGCAGAATAGTTTTGGTCTCTGGCAGCAGGCAAGAAGCTGCAAGCTCTGTCTGGGGAGCATTCAGAGCCAACTGAGCCTGAAACATGCAGCAGAACCAGGGGAGCATGGCAAGTGACAGTAGTGGGAGACTATGTCCTTCAAGAGTTGGAGGCCACTATCTGGTGACCTGACTTGCTGTCCAGGGATGTTTGCTCTTTGTTGGAGGCTTAGATCTGAGGTGTTTCAGGGATACTGCTGAAGCCTGTCCAGCCCTCAGACTATGATTCTATGCTGATTATCCATGCGGACACCAATGATACTATTAGGGAGAACTTGAGCATGTCAAGAGTGACTGTATGACTCTGGGGGGTGAAGGTGTAGGACATGAGGGCCCAGGTGGCGTTTTCATTGATCCTGCAAGGACAAGGCTTGGGAGTTGGGCATGGATCCTGTGGGTAAACACTTGATTGTGCACAGCCGGTCCTGGTGACAGGGGTTTGGCTTTGACAACCATAGGTTTCTCTCAGAGGATGAGGAACTGCTGGGGAGAAACAGGGTCCTCTTGGCAAAGGTGGACAAAAGCATCTTTGTGATCATGCTGGCCAACCTGTTGAGAAATACTTTAAACTAGGAATAACAGAGGAGAGAGATTTTGTCATGAGGTAGAAGTCAACAGTGATGGAAAGCAAAAGGTGCAAGGTGACAGGAAAAAATGAGACCTCAGGAATGATAAAACGTGGTAAAGAAAAACCCACCTCAAGTGTATGTACACAAATGCAAACATCCTAGGAAACAAGTGAGAGGAACTAGATCTCCACACGCAGCTGGCGAACTGCAATATCATTTGAATAAGAGATGTGGTTGCGCATTTGGGCTGCTGTGATTGCTGAAGATTAACTCTGTGGAGAAAGACTCAGGGATCTTGTTGAACTGAGACCACAGGAAGCTGAAAATGTGCCTGGCAGAAAGAAAGCAAACAGCATCTTGGGCTGTATTAACAGGGACACACCCAGTGATCCAGGGAAGTGATTATTCCTCACCACTTAGCATTCACTGGATGACACAGAGAATACTGTGTCCAGTTTTGGGCTCCACAACACAGGAAACACAGGAACAAAGTGGATTAAGTTCAGCAAACGGCCACCAAGATGGTGGGGGGCTGGAGCACATGTGATATGAGAAGAGGCTGAGGCTTTTTCTGCCTGCAGAGGAGACTTCAGAGGGACCTGAATCCCTCCAAAGTCTACAATGTTTAGCAGTCTTCCAGATTCTACAAGAATGTTATTTATTACATGGAGCCAGGCTTTTCACACTGGGGCATGGTAGGAGAATGAAAGACACTGGGCATAGGTTCAGATAAGAGAGGCTTGGACTGGATATAAGGAGAAACTTTCCCATTGTGAGGACCATCAAACAGTGAAACAGGCTGCTCAGAAGAGGCTGGGCAGTCTTCCTACTTGGAGGTTTTCAAGACCTAACTAGGTAAAGCCCTGAGCAACCTGGTCTTACCTCATAGCTGATAGGAGGGTGGACCAAAGACCTCCTGAGGTACCCTCCACCTGAGTTATCCTATGATCCTTCCCCTGCTGCCTCCCCAAAATTGAACCTAATATTTGGAAATATTTGGAACCTCTTTTTTTCTGTTCTCTTTAGTACTGATTGCTTCTTTCTGTATACTTCAAGTACCAAATGAACCTTTATTTTTGAGGTTCAAGTTTTGACCCTCTGCCCAATAGCAGAAATTCCTTTTCATCAGCCTATATTTTCCTACAATCAGCTGTTGGCTTCTGTCCTATAACAGCATCTGACTGCATACAATTTAAAATAAACATCATAATTTCTTCATGCTTTTCATGTCCTGTGGAGATAAGATAAGTTATATGGAGTCCAGTAGCTTTATAATTGATTAATTTATGGTCATTGTGCACCATCACTTCATTCACACAAACTTTAGAACGAACAATTGCCATAGTATTCTCCTTATCAATTTAGCATTTAATCTATTCCCAGCTTCTAAACACTCATTAATACCTTAAAATCAACCAACCTACCTACCAACCAACCAACCAACCAAATGTAAAGTGGCATGTCTGAATAGTGACTGGGGCAGACTGTGTCCTGCCGGCTGACACCTTATTGCATAGAGCACTGTGGGACTCACTAAAGGATGTCAGTCAAGTATTTATATCCAAAGTAATCTCCTGGTACCTTCAGCAGGGTTTGTTTGATTATATGCTTTACTCTGCCTAACTTGTCTGCAGTTTCATTCATTTTCAGCACTTTTAGCATCTGGTATTCATCCAGATTTTCCCATCCAGTGGGAAAACTGACAGAATCACATTCTCTGGCTGGGAGAGTATCAAAATTATCTTGGCTGGAGACCAGCTGCAAGACTCACCTATACCTATAAACTCACACAGAATTATAGAATAATTTAAGTTAGAAGGTACCGTTAGAGGTTTCTGGTCCAACCTCCCCTCTCAAAGCCAGATGAATTAGATGATGTTGCTCAGAGCCTTAAGCAGTTCAGTTTTGAATATATTCAAGAAGTGAGATTTCCTGATCTCATTGGCAACCTGTCCCAATGCTTGACTACTGTAATTGTGGAAAAAATATTTCCTAATGTCTAATCAGAATTCCATGTGTTCCAATTTGTGTCCATTACCTTTTTTTCTTCTACTGTGCACATGTGAGAAGAGACTGGCTCCATCTTCTCTACACCATCCCACTAGGAAGCTGTAGACAGCAATACAATTTCCTCTTTCATCTTTAGAAAAGCCTGTCTTTATTCATTACAGCACACCCAGTATTCTGAAACTGCCACCTTCAGTTCTGCAGATGAAAAAAGCAGTTGCTAGAAAGTTTGGTATCCACTGTAGTAGAACTAGTCTCAATCCCTTGACCAGAACACCAGAACTTGATTTCTTCCACTTGTTTCACATATTTCTTTGTGATAGGGAC